GTCACATTGTCATTTTAAGAAATGACATATTTTATCACTTGGTGCTTTCAGAGCTTGGGTCCATGGATTCTAAACCTTTCTAATGAGCAATTGGGTGGTTAGGAGATAAAAGAGAGAAGAGTTTTATGGGCAGCAGATGCAGCATAACTTTATTTATAAGGTTAAAAGCCCCGAGTGTAGCAACAAATTGATGGTGGTGATGAAACCGGAAGCACCCAAGGCTGGGTGAGTACTGCAGGAGCTGGACTGCAAGACTTAGAGCGAGGTGGCCACTTACACGGGAAAGCTCGCAATGCTGCTTCTGAAGATTTATTTGGGTAATTTTAATGATTAAACCACTTTCAAAGCTTCAGCATTACATCAGTGTCTGGTTATTGCATTCGATGAATTTAGCCAGCCTCCAAGGTGGCTACCGACAATTGTGTATTTCAGACCTATTTGTTCTGTCTTTGACATTGGAATGACAAGTTGTAAAAGGTATGTGTCTGGGGAGGTGCTACAGCCTCGCTGGGGGAAGTACATCATTGGGGTAAGCTTTGAGGGTTCATAGGCTTACCCTACTTCCAGTTCGCTCTCCGCTTCAGAGTTGCAGTGGAAAATGCTATTTCTCAGCTTCCTACTTTGGCTTCCTTCTGCCATGCCTCTCCCCATCATTATGGACTCTCCCTCTGGAACTGTAAGCCACACCAAATGCTTTTCTTCCATTAAAAACAAACAAACAAACAAACAAACAAACAAACAAACAAGGTTGCTTTGCTCTGAAGAACAAAAATCGGCTGCGTTTGTATATACATAAACATAAAAACATTGTCTCAACTATTCCATTTTTTATGATGTAATATTCCTGGAAACATCCCTGAATGTTCTCTAAATTCTATGAACTATTTCTCCCCCTAAGTCTTATTTTCCTCTTCCTCAGTGCTTATTGTTTACTAGACACAGAGTGTTACTAGGGATAAACGAACGAAGATGACACAGTGATGCTCTCCAAGGAGGGAGTCAGGTGAGTGGCAGCTCTGGACTCAGCTGGAGGGGCAACCATTACTGGTCAATGAGAAATGAGAGGAGTGTGGAGATACTACATAGGAGAAGGCAGCAGGAATAAAATGAGTCCAGTGACTGAATTTAAATGTATCCAAATGTGAAATCAGGAGAGATACAAGAATGAATTATCTACAACGATTTGTAATTTTTTTCAGGTCTAAGAGGGATGGAGGGAGCCCACTGTCCCACTCTTATGTGTCCTGTGCACTATTTACTCCCAGTTTGGCTCTGGACCCTGAAATCTTAGGAAGTGTATTAACATGGTTGAAATCTAAAGCATAAGCAAACAGCCTGTAGGAGGGGTCCCTATGGTCTAGCTAGCTTAGCCTCCAGGCCACTGTTCATCTGTGTTTTGGAAGAGGTTCATAAAGTCAAATAGCCCTTCAGTGGACCAGACCATGATGACCAGTCCTGCTGCTTGGATGGGGAGAAGCATGACTGTGCTGTAAACATCTGGTTTGCTGTCAGTGAAACTTCAGAATTAGTAAAATAGTATAGCACTTGAAAGATGCGCACACGAGCAGGATACAAATATGGGGCTTGTCTTCCTGTTTCCACACGTGTTTACTCGTAGACTTGTCAGCTGGACAATCTTGGCAGTCTGTGCAGAGTGAGGCATCAGTCCCAGCTTTTGCCTGTTTTCCCTTCCACAATCCTCGCATGCAGGATACTCTCGTGACACAGGGGTAAAGAACACTACTGTACCATGGGCATCTGCTTCTGGCGTCTAGGTCTACTTTTTTGGGGCCTGTTGATTATCAAGCTGGGCAGCGAGTCAACACCAAGGACATGGACTTGTTTGAATAATAATAAATAATTTGTGGTGTATGGTCTCAATAACACACACACACACATACATACACACACACAGAGAGAGAGAGCGAGAGAGAGAGTTTTCATTCTGTGTTTGAGTACTCATGTTCATTTGTCTGTTCATTATCATCATTGTTGAGAAGGGACCTTGGGACAGAGAAGGGCAGAGTTCATTCTTTCACTGTCTTAGATCAATTGACCTAGATCAATTGGTGTATGCCAAGGTCAACAGTACTTATCTCTCTTGGGGAGATAATTCAATTTGTTAAGACTTTGCAAGCCTCAGAACCCATGCTGAAGAAGCCAGGTATGTTGTTATGGGGGCGGAGGGAAGGGAAGGAGGAAGGGGAGGGAATGGAAATAGGAGGGTTCCTGCAGTTAGTTGATGGGCAAACCTAGTCTACTTGTTGAGTTTCAGGTCAGAAAGAGACCATGTCTCAAAAACAGAACAATGACTTCCAAGGTTGTCCTCTGCCCCTCACATGTACATGTAGGGAGAGTATTGTAAGGGTTGGGTCATGATGGCCAAGCTAGGTAGGACCAGGGAGTGGAGGGAGGTGGTACCACTAAAGGACATACCTTTCAAAGGCCTCCACATGAGAGGCTGTCATAATCAGATTCCAGAAGCCATTCAGCATGAGTCCCTCTTTGTTTCTCACTTATGACTTCTGGAACATTTGGGCTGTCTTTTGCACAGCCTGGGGGTATTTGGTGGGACTCTGTTCTAAACCAGAGGGTGCCTTGTGATTAGGACATTTTCTTGTGCAAACATCACACATATAGGCTGTAATAACAAACTACCACACTAATAAATCTTCCATGAGGTTGAAAATGTTGAAGTCAGGGCCAAGCTAAGGTTCATCCCCTGGAAAGGGTACTGCCATTGCCTAGCCTAGCCTGGCCTTTGGTTTGGTGTTGGTCATGTGGGCGTGACTCCTCCGTGCTTCTGAGCTCTTAGAGAACAGAGGAGTTTTGTAAACTGGGGAGGAGCTGAGCAGGAACAAGAAGGACTGACGATGATTTATTTGGTTACTTTTAAGATGACAGGTCTCCACAGAGCTTGGAATCCTTACCGCTTGGTGATGGCATAAGTAAAAAAAAAAAAAAAAAAAAAATGCATTTTATATGACAAAGCAGAGCACAAACTCTTTAAGGTGTGCCAGGAAAGACTTCGGAAGTATCTCCCCTCTAACCATGTCGTATATTTACAGGAGTTGGTTTGAAGAATGTGGAGTTCTTGGGAAATGCATGCAGGTAGCCTCTATGTAGTTCTTGCCTCAGTCTCTCCTGTCAGGTTTTCTAGTTTGACCTGGCTTCCTATTACCCTCCATGATAGAATATACTTCAACTTAAAGAAGCATTAACCTCCTTTGAACCCTTCTGGGAGAACAAAGAGATCCAGCAGACACGATGAAAGGAGAAATTTTAGTGACTGACGGAGGAGTGGGTGTGTAATTAGACAAGCTTAGGACTTGTGAGAAAACTTATTTATAACCATTTTGGTGAGGAGCAGGTGGGATCCACTCTTCTTTAGAAGAGGAGGCCAGCAGTGTTCCTTTCCTAACTGGCCAGACACCCAGCAGCCTGTGGGGGCAGCTGTTCACGCTGGCCTCACTCTTCAAAAACCTGAAGTATTCAGAAACCTTGTACCCAGAAAGGCATGCATGTTAAGTGGCTTTGGCAGCTGAGAACATGTGACTATGCTTCCCTGCAGCCCTGTGGTCCTTGCAGTTGGCTCATTGCTTTTCATGGTCATCGTTCTAGGACTGCTTATTTGTTCTGGTTTTGCACAAGCCCAGGCACTGGGCCTAGGTTTCCTCCAATTGGTTTATTTAACATTAACAGAAAAAGGAGGTTGCTGTCACTATCTTAAAGTATCCAGGAGGAGACTGCTGCAGCAGCTGGTTGCTAAGGAAGCCCCAGAAAGTATGGTAGGGACATGGCTGGGGAATTTTCAGTATTATAAGTATCTGCTTCTTGTGGATCCTTTTATGGGGAGAATATATAGTACACAAAGATTAGCTATAAGGTTTGTTTTAATGCTTGACTTGTAAGTACCTTAGTTTAATCACCAGGCATTTTCCTCTTAAGCACACAGCTGTGCACCACCAGGCCAGGGTTTCTTTGTTCTTCTCCAGTGGTTTTTGAAGGTGTATTTAAACAAAGCTAAACAGAGCCTGCCTTTAAATTTATATGGGATCTGCCTACCAATACGATGGACCAGTTATACGATATGTACACACACATTAATGTGGGGATTTTATTTCAATTAGTTTTTATGGAGATCATCACTTGGTATGAAGAGGAAAGTGTATTTACAAACATGAATGTGATGTGGCTGTTGGTTTTTGGTGTTGACATAAGGTCTCATTATGTAGTCCTGGATAGCTTGGCACTTGATGTCTAATACAGGATGGCCCCAAATTTGGGATCCTCTCACCTCAGTCTGCTGAGTGCTGGGATTTGCAGACTTGTCCTATCATGTCTGATTCTAAAAGTGACAAATCTTCATTGAAAATGAGTCAGACATAAAGGGCAAAATTGAATTAAGATGTAAAAATTACCCACAACCCCCTGTTTTATAGAAAATAATTATTGGTGGAATTTGGCAGATCTCCACTTATGTTGTACGTACATATTTTAGGCAACTGAGAACCAGTAGAGACACATTTTATATTATGTAAAAAACACATGCTGATTTTTAAATAGCATGTCATGCTGGTTTTTCACATCATTAACAATCTTTGTTAATATATTTACAAAATATTTAATGTCTTTTATTATTTACTCACATAAATAAATCATGAACCACAGTGCCAACTCTAGGTTTTTAAATGATATAAGCCCTTGCCTTTTTAAATGATGTAATAATGCAGTAATTATTGCTTTTGTGCACAGATATTTACTGCAAAGTTAGGTTTCCTTGTGGGATTTCTTCTGAGTCAGAGCATTACTGAACTGAAAGGTGTGAATTCCTGTTTTAAGCGTTTTTTGTTCCATGGTTACCAGCTGTTCCGAGGAAAGGGTGTTTCCACCACGGCAGAGGCCTCAGAAATCTTATACCAAACAGCCATCCGCACATTATCATTAGACAAACATCACTGCCACCAGCAGCAGCCCCCCTCTGTCCTCACTGTCGTTACCATTGTCGCCACCCGTCATCACTGTCACCACCACCACCACCACTACTGTCACCACCACCAACATTTACCACCACTGTCCCTATCACCATCATTTCCACTATCACCACCACCACCAGCATCACCATCAATTGCAGAAGCTCTGCCATTTTGTTAGGCAAAAATGTGGGTAATTCTTTATTTTCCATCAGTATTCTCTCTCTCTCTCTTTCTCTACCAGATTGATTTTTCATATTCCTGTTTAGAATAAATGTATTTTAGGGATAGCTACTAATACCTTACTTAAATTTCTTAAATTTACTATTATTGTACATAAGAGAGATGTATGCCTGTGAGTGTAACCATATGCACTGCACAGTGTGTGTATGGAGGTCACTGCACGGTGTGTATGGAGGTCACTGCATGGTGTGTATGGAGGTCACTGCATGGTGTGTATGGAGGTCACTGCAGAGTGAGTGTGTATGGAGGTCACTGCACGGTGTGTATGGAGGTCACTGCACAGTGTGTGTATGGAGGTCACTGCAGAGTGAGTGTGTATGGAGGTCACTGCATGGTGTGTATGGAGGTCACTGCAGAGTGAGTGTGTATGGAGGTCACTGCATGGTGTGTATGGAGGTCACTGCATGGTGTGTATGGAGGTCACTGCACAGTGTGTATGGAGGTCACTGCAGAGTGAGTGTGTATGGAGGTCACTGCATGGTGTGTATGGAGGTCACTGCAGAGTGAGTGTGTATGGAGGTCACTGCATGGTGTGTATGGAGGTCACTGCACGGTGTGTGTTTGAAGATCTCTGCACAGTATATGTATGGACGTCAAAGGATAACTTTCAGAGTTTGTTCTCTCCTTCCTTGCCAAGGCAACTTCTCTCTGATGGTCCTGTTGAATCCCCCAAGAATTCCTGTGTCATGTCCGGTGTTACAGTCGTTGATGCTTTTTGTCCTGTCTTCACTTAGGGTCAGGTCTACAGTGGGTGAGTATCTCAAACAGCTGAGGAAGTCTGTGCTGGAAGGTGGGTCCCACTGGAAGTGCTGATGGGAGCTGGTGGAACTTTGAGAGGCGAGAGGAACGTAGAGCACCGGAGCTGTGCTCTTGAGAGGACTTGTGGGACCCTGGCTCATGTCTGTCTGTCTTCTTGTTTTTCCATGAGATGAGCAGGCCTTCTTTAACACATTCTTCCTGCCCTGATGTTCTGTGGTAACAAGTCCAGAGAACTAGAGCCAAGCCATTTTAGACTGAAACATGGCCAAAACAAACCTTTTCTTTTATTTAGATGACTACCTCAGACATTTTGTCATAGTAACAGTGTGTGACTAACAGCCCAATAACTCCTTGCTTCCCCCAGTTCTCATCTTCCATTGTCTTGTAAGCATTGTACACATCTCACTTGTCTAACCCTGTCATGATCCATTTTTGAGAGGATCTAAGTTTCCAGTGAAAGCCTCTCTATTGCCTACACCTGTATGTTCTGGTTTTTTTTTTTTTTTTTTTTTTTTTGTAGTCCATAGACAGCAAGTTGTCTCTTTATAGTTGGTACAAACTGAACTACTCAAAGCTTAATTGCATTTTAATACCTGCCTTAATTTAATTATTCTTCTTCACATTCTTTTGAATTGCTCTCTCTGTAAGCTATTGCACTTTCGTGTAATCCTAATTTTTAATAATAACGTTTTTTAATGACCTGTGTTATCAGTGTAAGAAATCTACAATATTTAGAAACAAAAGATATGAGAGCAGTAATATGAAACCCAACTATATAGAGATGAAACTTCGACTTAGGATGTGGATTTACTTTTAATGTTTGTTTTTTTTTTTTTTCTGTTTCAATTTCCAAACTGGAGTCACTTAAATCTCATTATAGCCGGCCAGTGGCAGTGTACATCTTTAATCCTGGCACTCAAGAGGCAGAGGCAGGTGGATCTCTGTGAGTTTGAGGTCAACCTAGTTTACAGCATGAGTTCCAGGAGAGCTAGGGCTATACAGAGAAACCCTGTCTTGAAAAATCAATCAACAAGTAAACAAACAAATAAACAAATATCTCTTTATAGCCATACCCCTAAAACACCTTGATTGTGTAGATATGAGGGTTGCAGTTATTTCCTCTCAAGAGAGAACTGGATATTCCAGCTGTTCCTTAACATTGGCATTTGTCTCATTTTAAAAAACTACCTTAAATCATAGTAGCAGTGTCCTGGGACTTCCATCCCTGTACTGTGATGACACACCAGGGCCTGTCATATCTTGCAAAAAGCAAATATAAAATTTTACTGTGCCACCTGGTTTTGCTTCTTTGTCCTTCAGATCATGCCTAATTTTGTTTTATACTTTCTCTTTGCGGGAAAGCCACAGGAACTTGACATTTACCCAACCCAAAGATATTTGGGTCCATACATACCTTGTTTTAAATTTTTAAAGTTTAGTTCATTTTTTTAAAAGTGTGTGTGTGTGTGTGTGTGAGAGAGAGAGAGAGAGAGAGAGAGAGAAAGAGAGAGAGAGAGAGAGAGAGAGAGAGAGAGAGAGAGAGAGAGAGAGAGCTTTCCTGAAGGGCCCAGAGGCCTCAGATCTCACGGAGATGAAATAATGTGTGGTTGTGAACCACCGGATGTGGGTGTTAGGAACTGAATTTGTGTCTCTGCAAAATCAGTAAGTGCTTTTAAATGCTGAGCCATCTCACATTTTAAGTTGAGATACCATACACACAGAAGATTTGTAATGTTGGGCGTTTTCCTCCTTATCTTTAAAACAGATTTTTAAGTCTCCTGAGCATGGGAGTTTGAAAGGAGAGATAGTTGGGCTTAAATCCAGCATCTCCCACACAGGCACCCACTCTGCCATTGAGCTACATCCTGGTCTAGAACATTTTGTATTCTGATTCTCACCCCCAACCCGTTCATTATCCCATAGCTTTCTGCTTCTGACAAGTTCCATGACATTGCATTATTTTTGAAGGCTGCATAATATGTAATCCTGTAAACATCAATGTAGCATATTTGAGGCTTCCTATCATTGGATGTTGTCTATGTGCATACCTTACTGATAAAAATGGAGACATGGTGAGCTGCCTTGACCTAAAATGTGCTTTGGTTTTCACTTGGCTTTGTCTCAGGTGAGGGTCTAGAAACCTGCCCTGTTACCTCCTTCTCCAAAGCCTGTTAGTCTATTGCAAGCAGCCATAGCTACTCTGATGAAGATGGTTGCTGTTCTGCTCCGAGGACTATGTGTTACAAGCATGGTTCAGGAGCACATGTCTGTAACTCCAGGACTCCTACAGGGAGATCAGAAGCAGAGATAGAAGTCCTAGAGGCCTTGTGTGTGCTGCAGTGATGAGAGGTGCTGTCGCAAACAAGGTGGAAGGTAAAGACCAGTATGTGTCTATGTGCACACATGCATGGGCACATGTGCACCCCCCAAAAACATCATACATCTCCACCCCAAGATGAAAAAACAAAAAGAAAACCCCTCACTTATATGATAGGCTACTTCCTTAACACCTTGCATAACACATCTAATTTGGCTTACTTTGGAATTATAAACACTTTAGTCCATTCAAAGTAAAAGCATTCACATTCTAAACTTTAAAACCTATTCAAAGTAACAAGCCACAGTCTACTTGGCTGGTGTGTTTCATGAGTAGGCACTTTGAGATCCAAGTATTACTATCAACGGCTTTCTCTCTGGTACCACTTTTCTTTTTCAACTTTAAACTTTTAGTTTAAACTTTAGTTTGTATTTTTATGATTATAAATGACAAAGATCAACATAGGACAGAAGCCAACAGACTGCAGACAAACTGAATGACAAGCAGGCCCATAGCATATAAGAAAGGGAAGAGGGGGAAGTCAAGAGGATGAGCCCCTGAATAAGAGACCAGAAGGAAGATTCTGTCACCTTTCCTATATCTGCTGTACTACAGTGTACCCTGTGCCTCATGGGAGTTCTCCCAGAGAGCAGAACCAACCTGATTATATATTTCCTATATTAAAACAAATCTAGGCTTTGGCTTCATTTTCTGAACTCTGGGAAGTCTAGCCATCTGTGATTCTTTTTTTCTTCCTTCCTTCCTTCCTTCCTTCCTTCCTTCCTTCCTTCCTTCCTCCCTCCCTCTCTCCCTCCCTTCCTTCCTCTCTTCCTCTTTCTTTCTCTCCCTTCCTCCTCCCCTCCCTCCCTTTCTTCATTCCTTTCTTCTTACCAGGGAACCCAGGAGCCACCTCTGAGAATTTTTCAGCAAATATACTTACTCATAAATCCCAATCATTCCATCCCCCCAACAATAAGTTGATGTCTACAGTTTCCAAATGTGGAAAACCATCCTCCAAATCACCCTCAACATCAGGACAGGTTTTTGCAGAGGGCACCTGGTTCAATAGGTGTCCTCTTAATGAAGTAAGGAAACCTTTGCAGCCACACACTGTAAACAAGACAGGATTAATGGAGGGGCCTCCTTTATCATAACTGTTCAGTGTACTTCATGTAGTCATATGCTACACAGAGGATGAGAAGGAAGTTCACCATGAGTCCTCCTCTTTGTTTCCCAGCCACCTCAGAAAAAACGGCGCTACCCAGCAAAATATATTTAGTAGCAAAATATATTTTAATGGAAAGTCATTTTAAGTAATTGAATAAAAACCGTGTTCCAGGGACTTTCTCAGCAGACAGCAGAGTATGTACATCTGGCGAGGGTAGAGCAGCATCCCTTTAATATAACTTTCGTATAGAAAATGCAAGCATATTTAAACAATGGAAACATGTAAGAAAGGATGTCACAAAGAATAACAAAATAGATCACAAAATTAATAAGTCAACCTCAAGCTTATGAAACAAACGAGCCCAAGCACCGTGTTGGTCTTCCTTCGTGTGAGTTCCAGGAGCTACCAGGAGGAGATGACCCTGCTTTGGGAGAGGCTGTGGGGGGGCGTGTGTGTGTGTTAAAACCCGGTTCTTCTTCTCCTGAAGAAAGAAAACATAACAAAACCAACAGGTTCAAGAGAATCCCAAGCTCCATATCCATCAGCTTCACACAGAGTCCACATCAGTCTCCTTGTAGCTCCCGTTTTAGTACATGAGCCAATGAAGGGAGCCAAATAGTGTTTACTTTTGACATCTTGTTTTCTTCATCTATCCCGACTTAATATTTTCTAGCTTTGGGTTTAGT